GACACACGGATGGACACACGGATGGACACACGGACGGACACACGGACGGACAGATGGATGGACACACGGATGGACACACAGACGGACACACGGATGGACACACGGATGGACACACGGATGGACACACGGATGGACACACGGACGGACAGATGGATGGACACACGGATGGACACACGGACGGACACACGGATGGACACACGGATGGACACACGGACACACAGATGGACAGATGGACACACAGATGGACACACGGACAGACACACAGATGGACACACGGATGGACACACGGATGGACACACAGATGGACACACGGATGGACACACGGATGGACACACGGACACACGGATGGACACACAGACGGACACACGGATGGACACACGGACGCACAGATGGACAGATGGACACACAGATGGACACACGGACAGACACACGGATGGACACACGGATGGACACAGGGATGGACATGGGATGGACACGGGATGGACACACAGATGGACACACGGACGGACAGATGGACACACAGATGGACACACGGATGGACACACGGATGGACACACAGATGGACACACGGATGGACACATGGATGGACACACAGATGGACACACGGACACACGGACAGATGGACACATGGATGGACAGATGGACACACAGATGGACACACGGATGGACACATGGATGGACACACGGATGGACACACGGATGGACACACGGATGGACACATGGATGGACACACGGATGGACACACGGATGGACACACGGATGGACACACGGATGGACAGACAGACACATGGACACACGGATGGACACACAGACACACAGATGGACACACACATGGACACACGGACGGACACACGGATGGACACACAGACGGACACACGGACACACGGACGCACTGACCGGTCCCTCGGGGGTCCCCTCCTCGTCGCGGCTCTCGGGGGTCTCGGCGCTCAGCAGCACCGGGACGGACACACGGACACACAGATGGACACACGGATGGACACACGGATGGACACACGGACAGACGGACACACGGATGGACACACGGACACACTGACCGGTCCCTCGGGTGCCCCCTCCTCGTCGCGGCTCTCGGGGGTCTCGGCGCTCAGCAGCACCGGGACGGACACACGGACACACAGATGGACACACGGATGGACACACGGATGGACACACGGACAGACGGACACACGGATGGACACACGGACACACTGACCGGTCCCTCGGGGGTCCCCTCCTCGTCGCGGCTCTCGGGGGTCTCGGCGCTCAGCAGCGCCTCCAGGACGGGCCCCTCGGGCAGTGACCCCTCCTTCCGCAGCGGCGCCTCGCAGTCTGCGGCCACACACGTCACAGCACGGACACGCCAGGGACATGCCATGGACACGGCACCAACACGCCACGGACACGGCCCGGACACGGCCCAGACATGGCCCGGACACTCCAGACACGCCCCAGACGCTCCGGACACACTCTGGACACTCAAATCACGCTCCAGACACGCTCCGGACACTCTGGACATGGCCCGGACACGCTCTGGACACACTCCAGACACACTGGACACGCTCCGGACACTCTCTGGACACACTGGACATGCCCCAGACATGCTCCGGACACGCCCCGGACACTCTTCAGACACGCTCTGGACACTCCGGACACGCTCCGGACACTCTGGACATGTTCCAGACACACTCCGGACACACTCCAGACACACTCCAGACACTCTGGACACGCTCCGGACACACTCCGGACACTCTGGACACTCTGGACATGATCTGGACACACTCCGGACACGCTCTGGACACCCCGGACACGGCCCGGACACACTCCAGACACGCTCTGGACACTCTGGACACGCTCCGGACACGCTCCGGACACTCCAGACATGCCCTGGACACACTCCAGACACGCTCCAGACACTCTGGACACACTCCAGACACGCTCTGGACACTCTGGACACACTCCGGACACTCCAGACACACTCTGGACACGCTCCGGACACTCTGGACACACTCCAGACACGCTCTGGACACTCTGGACACACTCCGGACACTCCAGACACGCTCTGGACACGCTCCGGACACTCTGGACACACTCCAGACACGCTCTGGACACTCTGGACACACTCCGGACACTCCAGACACACTCTGGACACGCTCCGGACACTCTGGACATGCTCCAGACACACTCTGGACACTCAGGTCACGCTCCGGACACGCTCCAGACACACTCTGGTCATGCTCCAGACACTCTGGACATGCTCTGGACACACTCTGGACACTCAGGTCATGCCCCGGACACATTCTGGACACACTGGATGCACTCCAGACACTCCAGACATGCTCTGGACACTCTCCGGACACTCTGGACACGCTCTGGACACGCTTTGGACACACTCCAGCCACTCCAGCTACGCTCCGGACATGCTCTGGACATGCTCTGGACACTCTGGACACGCTCCGGACACGCTCTGGACACTCTGGACACACTCTGGACACTCCAGCCATGCTCTGGACACATTCCAGCCACCCTCCAGCCACTCTGTCCATCCTCTGACCACCCCTCCAGCCACTCCAGCCCCCCAGGCCACCCTCTGACCACCCCTCTGGCCACTCCGGCCACTCCAGCCACCCTCCAGCCCCTCTGACCACCCCTCCAGCCCCTCCGGCCACCCTCTGACCACCCCTCTGACCACCCCTCCGGCCACTCCGGCCACCCTCTGACCACTCCAGCCCCTCCAGCCCCCTCACTGACCACCCCTCTGGCCATCCTCTGACCACCCCTCTGACCACCCTCTGGCCACTCCGGCCACCCTCTGACCACCCTCTGACCACCCTCTGGCCACTCCAGCCACCCTCTGACCACCCCTCCGGCCACCCTCCGGCCGCTCGGGCCGCGGTCACTCACATGGCCGCAGCCGCGGGGCCTCGAGGATGTTCAGGCGCCGCTTCTTTCGCCAGCAGCGGGCGGGGTACGAGTAGATCTGACCCGGGGACAGGCCTGGGGGCACGGCCGGAGAGTGACCACTGCGCCCCGAGTGACCACTGTGACCCCAGAGTGACCACAGCGCCCTCAGAGTGACCACAGGGCCACCAGAGTGACCACAGTGACCTCAGAGTGACCACAGTGACCTCAGAGTGACTATAAAACCCTCAGAGTGACCACTGCGCCCCGAGTGACCACAGGGACCCCAGAGTGACCACAGGGCCCCCAGAGTGACCACTGCGCCCCGAGTGACCGCAGTGACCCCAGAGTGACCACAGTGACCTCAGAGTGACCACAGGGCCCCCAGAGTGACCACAGGGACATCAGAGTGACCACAGTGACCTCAGAGTGACCACAGCATCATCAGAGTGACCACAGCACCCCCACACTGACCACAGCACCCCCAGAGTGACCACTGCGCCCCGAGTGACCAGAGTGACCTCAGAGTGACCACAGCGCCCCCAGAGTGACCACAGTGCCCCCAGAGTGACCACAGTGCCCCCAGAGTGACCACAGCACCCCCAGAGTGACCACAGCGCCCCCAGAGTGACCACAGAACCCCCAGAGTGACCACAGCGCCCCCAGAGTGACCACAGCACCCCCAGAGTGACCACAGTGACCCCAGAGTGACCACGGCACCCCCAGAGTGACCACAGTGCCCCCAGAGTGACCACAGCGCCCTCAGAGTGACCACAGCACCCCCAGAGTGACCATAGAACCCCCAGAGTGACCACAGCACCCCCAGAGTGACCACAGTGACCCCAGAGTGACCACGGCACCCCCAGAGTGACCACAGTGCCCCCAGAGTGACCACAGCGCCCTCAGAGTGACCACAGCACCCCCAGAGTGACCACAGCACCCCCAGAGTGACCACAGTGCCACCAGAGTGACCACAGCACTCCCAGAGTGACCACAGTGCCCTCAGAGTGACCACTGATCCCCCAGAGTGACCACAGTGACCCCAGAGTGACCACAGGGCCACCAGAGTGACCACTGATCCCCCAGAGTGACCATGGAACCCCCAGAGTGACCACAGGGCCCCCAGAGTGACCACAGAACCCTCAGAGTGACCACTGATCCCCCAGAGTGACCACAGTGCCCCCAGAGTGACCACTGCGCCCCGAGTGACCACAGCACCCCCAGAGTGACCACAGCACCCCCAGAGTGACCACAGCGCCCCCACACTGACCACAGTGCCACCAGAGTGACCACAGTGCCACCAGAGTGACCACTGCGCCCCCAGAGTGACCACAGTGTCCCCAGAGTGACCGCAGTGCTCCCAGAGTGACCACAGGGCCCCCAGAGTGACCACAGCGCCCTCAGAGTGACCACAGAACCCCCAGAGTGACCACAGCATCATCAGAGTGACCACAGTGCTCCCAGAGTGACCACAGCGCCCCCAGAGTGACCACAGCACCCCCAGAGTGACCACAGCACCCCAAGTGACCACAGTGCCCCCAGAGTGACCACAGCACGCCCAGAGTGACCACAGCACCCCCAGAGTGACCACAGTGACCTCAGAGTGACCACAGTGCTCCCAGAGTGACCACAGGGACATCAGAGTGACCACAGCACCCCCAGAGTGACCACAGTGACCTCAGAGTGACCACAGCGCCCCCAGAGTGACCACAGCGCCACCAGAGTGACCACAGTGCCCCCAGAGTGACCACAGGGCCCCCAGAGTGACCACAGCGCCCCCAGAGTGACCACAGTGCCCCCAGAGTGACCACAGTGCCCTCAGAGTGACCACGGAACCCCCAGAGTGACCACAGTGCCCCCAGAGTGACCACAGCACCCCCAGAGTGACCACAGTGCCCCCAGAGTGACCACAGTGCTCCCAGAGTGACCACAGTGCCCCCAGAGTGACCACAGTGACCCCAGAGTGACCACAGCACCCCCAGAGTGACCACAGATCCCCCAGAGTGACCACAGTGACCCCAGAGTGACCACAGTGCCCCCAGAGTGACCACAGGGCCCCCAGAGTGACCAGAGTGACCCCAGAGTGACCACAGAACCCTCAGAGTGACCACTGATCCCCCAGAGTGACCACAGTGCCCCCAGAGTGACCACTGCGCCCCGAGTGACCACAGCACCCCCAGAGTGACCACAGCACCCCCAGAGTGACCACAGCGCCCCCACACTGACCACAGTGCCACCAGAGTGACCACAGTGCCACCAGAGTGACCACTGCGCCCCCAGAGTGACCACAGTGTCCCCAGAGTGACCGCAGTGCTCCCAGAGTGACCACAGGGCCCCCAGAGTGACCACAGCGCCCTCAGAGTGACCACAGAACCCCCAGAGTGACCACAGCATCATCAGAGTGACCACAGTGCTCCCAGAGTGACCACAGCGCCCCCAGAGTGACCACAGCACCCCCAGAGTGACCACAGCACCCCAAGTGACCACAGTGCCCCCAGAGTGACCACAGCACGCCCAGAGTGACCACAGCACCCCCAGAGTGACCACAGTGACCTCAGAGTGACCACAGTGCTCCCAGAGTGACCACAGGGACATCAGAGTGACCACAGCACCCCCAGAGTGACCACAGTGACCTCAGAGTGACCACAGCGCCCCCAGAGTGACCACAGCGCCCCCAGAGTGACCAGAGTGACCCCAGAGTGACCACAGGGCCCCCAGAGTGACCACAGCGCCCCCAGAGTGACCACAGTGCCCCCAGAGTGACCACAGTGCCCTCAGAGTGACCACGGAACCCCCAGAGTGACCACAGTGCTCCAAGAGTGACCACAGCACCCCCAGAGTGACCACAGTGCCCCCAGAGTGACCACAGTGCTCCCAGAGTGACCACAGTGCCCCCAGAGTGACCACAGTGACCCCAGAGTGACCACAGCACCCCCAGAGTGACCACAGATCCCCCAGAGTGACCACAGTGACCCCAGAGTGACCACAGTGCCCCCAGAGTGACCACAGGGCCCCCAGAGTGACCAGAGTGACCCCAGAGTGACCACAGAACCCTCAGAGTGACCACTGATCCCCCAGAGTGACCACAGTGCCCCCAGAGTGACCACTGCGCCCCGAGTGACCACAGCACCCCCAGAGTGACCACAGCACCCCCAGAGTGACCACAGCGCCCCCACACTGACCACAGTGCCACCAGAGTGACCACAGTGCCACCAGAGTGACCACTGCGCCCCCAGAGTGACCACAGTGTCCCCAGAGTGACCGCAGTGCTCCCAGAGTGACCACAGGGCCCCCAGAGTGACCACAGCGCCCTCAGAGTGACCACAGAACCCCCAGAGTGACCACAGCATCATCAGAGTGACCACAGTGCTCCCAGAGTGACCACAGCGCCCCCAGAGTGACCACAGCACCCCCAGAGTGACCACAGCACCCCAAGTGACCACAGTGCCCCCAGAGTGACCACAGCACGCCCAGAGTGACCACAGCACCCCCAGAGTGACCACAGTGACCTCAGAGTGACCACAGTGCTCCCAGAGTGACCACAGGGACATCAGAGTGACCACAGCACCCCCAGAGTGACCACAGTGACCTCAGAGTGACCACAGCGCCCCCAGAGTGACCACAGCGCCACCAGAGTGACCAGAGTGACCCCAGAGTGACCACAGGGCCCCCAGAGTGACCACAGCGCCCCCAGAGTGACCACAGTGCCCTCAGAGTGACCACAGTGCCCTCAGAGTGACCACGGAACCCCCAGAGTGACCACAGTGCTCCAAGAGTGACCACAGCACCCCCAGAGTGACCACAGTGCCCCCAGAGTGACCACAGTGCTCCCAGAGTGACCACAGTGCCCCCAGAGTGACCACAGTGACCCCAGAGTGACCACAGCACCCCCAGAGTGACCACAGATCCCCCAGAGTGACCACAGTGACCCCAGAGTGACCACAGTGCCCCCAGAGTGACCACAGGGCCCCCAGAGTGACCAGAGTGACCCCAGAGTGACCACAGAACCCCCAGAGTGACCACAGCACCCCCAGAGTGACCACGGAACCCCCAGAGTGACCACAGTGCCCTCAGAGTGACCACAGTGACCCCAGAGTGACCACAGCATCCCCAGAGTGACCACTGATCCCCCAGAGTGACCACAGAACCCCCAGAGTGACCACAGCATCATCAGAGTGACCACAGTGACCCCAGAGTGACCACAGTGACCTCAGAGTGACCACAGGGCTCCCAGAGTGACCACAGTGCCCACAGAGTGACCACAGGAACCTCAGAGGGACCACAGGAACACCAGAGTGACCACAGAATCCTCAGAGTGACCACAGGGACCCCAGAGTGACCACAGTGCCACCAGAGTGACCACAGTGACCTCAGAGTGACCACAGCGCCCCCAGAGTGACCACAGCGCCCCCAGAGTGACCAGAGGGACCCCAGAGTGACCACTGATCCCCCAGAGTGACCACTGATCCCCCAGAGTGACCACAGTGCCACCAGAGTGACCACAGCATCATCAGAGTGACCACAGTGCCCCCAGAGTGACCACAGCATCATCAGAGTGACCACAGGAACCTCAGAGTGACCACAGAACCCCCAGAGTGACCACAGTGCCCACAGAGTGACCACAGGGCCACCAGAGTGACCACAGCACCCCCAGAGTGACCACAGTGACCCCAGAGTGACCACAGCACCCTCAGAGTGACCACAGCGTCCCCAGAGTGACCACAGTGACCCCAGAGTGACCACAGTGCCACCAGAGTGACCACAGTGCTCCCAGAGTGACCACTGATCCCCCAGAGTGACCACAGTGCCCCCAGAGTGACCACAGTGCCCCCAGAGTGACCACAGCACCCCCAGAGTGACCACTGATCCCCCAGAGTGACCACAGTGCCCCCAGAGTGACCACAGGGCCCCCAGAGTGACCACAGCGCCCCCAGAGTGACCACTGATCCCCCAGAGTGACCACAGTGCCCCCAGAGTGACCACAGTGCCCCGAGTGGCCAGAGTGACCCCAGAGTGACCACAGTGACCTCAGAGTGACCACAGTGCCCCCAGAGTGACCACAACGCTCCCAGAGTGACCACAGCACCCCCAGAGTG